GGGGGTCTCTGATGGGATCCAAGGGGATCATTTGGGATCATTTTGGATCCGGTGGATCCCGCACCTGGCGGAAGGGCTGGGGGAGGGGATCAGGGATTCCTGGGGTCTCTGATGGGATCCAAGGGGATCATTTGGGATCATTTTGGATCCGGTGGATCCCGCACCTGGCGGAAGGGCTGGGGGAGGGGATCAGGGATTCCTGGGCTCTCTGATGGGATCCAAGGGGATCATTTGGGATCATTTTGGATCCGGTGGATCCCGCACCTGGCGGAAGGGCTGGGCCATCTCCCGCAGGAAGCGCTTGGCCGCCTGCACGGCCTCGTCCACCGTCAGGTTCAGGTGGGACTCGGGCAGGTGCTCCTGGATCCAGCGCGGCAGCTTGCCCCGCTTGTCGGCACGGGCGAAACGCTGGGGGGAAAAATGGGGGGAAAGATGGGGAAAATGGGAAAAATGGGGAAGAAATGGGGAAAATGGGGGGGAAAATGGGAGAAAAACAGGGAAAAAATGGCCCAAAATAAGCCCCAAACACCCCCAGGCTTGTCGGCATGGGCGAAACGCTGGGGGGGAAAAATGGGGGGAAAGATGGGGAAAATGGGAAAAATGGGGGGAGAAATGGGGAAAATGGGGGAAATTGGGGGGAAAATGGGGGGAAATGGGGGAAAAATGGGGAAAATTGGGGAAAAAAGCAGGGAAAAATGGAGAAAAAAATGGGGAAAAAACAAGGGGAAAATGGGGGAAAATTGGGGAAAAAATGGGGAAAAATGGGGAAAAAATGGGGAAAAATGGGGAAAAAATGGGGGAAAAAACCAGGGAAAATTGAGGAAAAAATGGGGAAAAATGGGGAGAAATGGGGAAAAAATGGGGGAAAACGGGGAAAAAAGGGGGGAAAATGGGGGAAAAATTGGGGAAAAGAGGGGGGAAAAATGGGGAAAGAATGAGGGAAAATGGGGGAAAATTGGGGAAAAACCGGGGAAAACATGGGGGAGAAAACCCCTCAAATTGTCTTAAACTCCCCAAACCGACCCCAAAATCCCCCAAAATCCCCCCAGACCTTGTCAGCGAACACCATGAGCCCGCAGTCGGTTTTCCCCCGGAGCGCTCTCCCCACGCACTGCGCCG